CCAGGGCAAATATGAAGAGGCAGAAGCCATGCACCGACGAGCATTACAAGGCCGAGAGAAGGTGCTGGGCCTTGCGCATCCGAACACACTCAACAGCGTCAACAACCTTGGTCTAGTTCTTTCCAACCAGGGCAAATATCAAGAAGCAGAAGCCATGCACCGACGAGATTTACAAGGGTCTGAGCAGGTGCTGGGGCCCGAGCATCCAGACACACTCATCAGCGTCAAAAACCTCAATCCTGTTATTAGACAACAAAAAACATATGAAGAGGACGCTGCGCACTGATAGCAATTCGAGAATTAATATCTATCGATAAATATGACTCCTCCCTTTCGCACTGGTTTTCCGTTCGCATAGACTACGTGTCTTCGGCTAATTACCCTCTCTTGCTTTTAATACACATACATATTTTCAGGGACAACTATTATTTCTCATTTTCTACCCAACATCGTACCATACGTATGCACTCATTTGGTAAAGACAAGTTTTTCGTATTACTTTCTCCTGCTAAATGAAAATTACTAGCCTGACAGACGGCCTCCCGCTAGCGTTCCCGGTTTGGGACCATTAACAAAGAAGAACAGTGTTCGCAGCGGAAGCTGATCTCGCTAGGTTGTGTACAAGAAGGTAAAAGACAACGAAAGTGAATCTGAACTGTATATCGATTGTGACTGATCATGTGTTTGGTGCCTGAAACCGGCCGTTCTAATGCCCCAGCACGTATGTATTATCGTTACTGCATCTGTGAGGCGGGCTGATAATACCTGTAGAATGGACCTTCAAACTGCGCGTAGACGGCAAGTGTATTTTGGAGCTCTCACTAGATCACGTTGATAATAGGTTTAGGGACACTGAATTTCATGCTATGAGGCAGATGGTTGTAAGCTTATTGTAAAATGAAAGAGATCAGAAGCTTAGAACCGCTGTTCAAGCTGGCAAAGATAATGGGTAGTCAAACGTGATCTTTTTGAGTCCTTCGATAATATCGCGTCGTGTATCGGTCGAATTTGTATTGTTATAGATCTGTAAGGCATCGGCGAAAAGCTCCGGATGGTCTTGTGCGTACTCCTGGGCATCCGACATGATCATATCGTAGACAGTGATGTTCCATTCGGAATAGACACCATCCACTGCCTGTCCCGCTATATTGTATCGAGCAAATATCGCATCACCATATCGCTTCTCTAAGACAGCAGTGCAATACTCGGTAGCCCACGGTTCCACCAAGTTGAGACGCGCGGTTCGGTTGCGGACCGCAGAGACTCGTAGGTCAAGGAACAACTGCTCGGGAATAGAATCCACGATAGCCTCCATGGTGAATGCGAATACTCGAGCCGAGCAGACTGAAGAGTAACATGGAGTAAAAAGAATATGAGATGATGATTCTGAAAAACAAAAAAGCCCGAAAGGTAGAGTATCATTAAACTGAGACCTGAAGCTTGTTTGTTGTTGCCTAATGTGGGTCTGGGATCGCCCCAACCAATCAGCTTATCACAATGACCTAGAAATACAATCTTTCAGTACGCAGTAAGCTGGTCGGAGAATGCAGTTGCTAATTGCTGATTATATCAGCACCGATTTGAGCACTCATGACTCTATCATGAGAAGCACATGACTCTGCTTTTGACACACGCAGCCTGATTAAGATTTAATGGACTTGAAATGCCGAAATAAGATATACGTGTCATGAAGATATCCCCAATAGGACTTACGTCATAATTTTACTTCATAGACCGAATTCTAATACTCCATATCTCATGTCATGAACAGTGGACCATTGAAAACATTTTGTATGGGGAAAGGGAGCATGTTTTTTCATGTTTATCCAGCAAATATGTTGCTTAAGTAGGACAATTCTTACCTCTTGTGATGTGGGGATGATTGAACGAGAGAGACTTTCAGGCCTGGCAAAGCTGCCCCGTCTGCGAAGAGCAAAGAGAACATTGGCAGATTGAGAACGCTTCCGTGACAGCTAGATATGTAAACTGCAAAGGTACCCAGAACTCTCGCTGAAATTTTTGTCATACCAAGCGCATGTGTCTTGTATATGCACAAAGTCTCCTCCTGTCGGTAAAGTTTGGCACAATGGTTGATTTCAGCTAGAAGACCTTACTACACAAATCGCGGATTACAGATCACTTAGGATTCAACAATTAAACGATGAAGAACTTTTTCATTTCCGTACCATAGACATCCTGTATGATGAGCAGTGTCTCCTGAGCCCATGAGGGCAGGTTTCATACAAATAGCCGAGAATCGAAGTTTTGCGGCGCTCAGAAAACACAAATTAGATGATCACGTATTAGATAGAATCACGTTTTCAATCACATCACGAGCAGCCAGTGGTTTTACTGCTAAAGCATATTTTCGGTGACTGGTATTTTGCGGCGAATAACCTGATACCTTGATCTCTGACGTCGCACGACGACAATCGTCGTATATAAGCTCAGCAACCGAATGAATTGCATATTGGCTTGAGTCAGGCCGACCTTTCAAGGGGCCTATCCGAAGATTGCAATCACGATATGAGTCCACATCCCTATCAGAGCCATAATAACGCGTGGTACTTTCCCCCATTTATTCAAGTATACTGTAGTAATCTGATGCTTTTGCAAGAAATTCTGTACTGTAGGAGATGCCCCAAGTTGTTCTTACTGCAAGATTTCCGGTTTTGATTGTATTTAGTCCTTCAATAATATCGCGTCGTGTATCAGTCAAATTTGTATTGTTATAAAGCTATAAGGCATCGGTGAAAAGCTCCGGATAGTCTTATGCGTATTCCTAGGCATCTAATATAATCACATTGTACACAGTAATGTTCTGTTTAGTATAGATACTATCCACTGCCTGTCCCGCTATATCATATTGAGCAAATATCGTATTACTATATCACTTCTCTAAGATAGTAGTATGATACTTAGTAGCCCACGGTTCCATCAAGTTGATACACGCGGTTCGATTGTGGACTATAGAGACTTGTAGATTAAGAAATAACTACTTAGAGATAGAGTCTTTGTCATGGGTAATCCCCGTAGCTGTGGCGAATCGCCTGTGGTTTGGCCACATACCCCTCATGTACTGGTCGTGAGGTCATCGATGGCGAACCCGCACCTTCCCGACACCTATAAGGTGCTGCTTCCTCTGCAGGAGGCTACTGATCCCCCAAGGATCAGTCTATTTCGTGGATATAGCCTTTGTCTTTACTAGACGAATCCATAGTGTTTAGTGGTTGATTCCTTACCTAGTCGACAGGCCTTCTACCCTGACAAGTAGATCCTATCACAGTCTTCAACAGCCTTCATGATAAATCCCAGAAGAACTGAAAATAAATATAGAAGCTAATACTACATTATAATAATAGAATAAAGTGATTTATAAGATTGATTCTTAGTATACTAGAATCAGAATATATTGTGACCGCCGCCTCCACGGCTTGGTGTATTGAGGCCTCCGCGCCTTCCTGTATCGCCTGCATCGATGGCGTAGGATACTTAACCTTCCGGCCTCCCAGGCCCTGCATTGGATGAACAACTTCCTCATGATCACCTTCTCGCATATAGCGATTTACCACAGTTGGTAGCATGTCCTATACGTGCTCTTGACTGCCTCATTCTACGGTATATCCGAGGATCGTCTTTCCTTCTTTCTGACGTTTGTGTCCTACACGTCTCCCCGCTTCGTGATATACGAAAGCACGTCAAGACGCGTCGTTCTTGGGCCTCATCCAGGGAACCGGTCGCTCGCCTCCTCTCCCCCTTGCTCGCCTCGTCGAACGTCCCAGCAGACGGTTGTTACGGTGCCTTCCGTTTTTGCAACTGCTGCGACGCCTCCTTCCTCGTTGAGAACGAAGAGTTGGTTCTAGACAGTTCTGACTTCCTTCCTTGTCATCTTGGCTACAAAACGAAACTTTCGCCCACCACGGAGACGCTCTGAACTTCATCTTTTCGTCATTCCTGTGTCTTTTGAACCTCATTTTTTCGTCACTCCTGAACTCTATACATTGCATATGACGGCCGTTCGGTCGTTTGATCCGTATGTCGTCAAGACTTCGCAAGAGGAAGCAGCGTTGTCTTATTGACTATACTGAACCGTCGTCCCCGCCTACGGACGACCCCCTCGATCCTTCAAAAACGCCTCAGACAAGTACTGAGCAAACTACCGAACCGTCGATATCGAAGCCGCTTTCAAGCAAGCGAGAGCGTCTTGCGGAGTTAGCCCACCAGCTGTGGAACTTTTGGCTGTACGCACAGTGTGACTTCGTACACCAACTCGACAACGACACCCTACAGCGTGCCGAATACGTGCAGCTATATACACCCAATCCGCTTCAAAATCGTGATTCCAGTGGCCACCGGACTGGTCTATAAACCGTCCGTCTTTGAACAAGGCTGTCTCTGAGTTCCTGCGTCTTGCGTATCGTGTGTCGGATCTGCCTGGCTATCGTACATGGCGAGACAAGCACGAGTTGGATATCAGTTTCAGAACCGAAGCATCAAATCCTCTAGGACGAACGCGTGCCTTGTCGGTCACGAGTGCGGTGTCGGTTACCGACCTGGGACGCCCTGTCACCCCTGAGGTGCCTGGCCAATTCGACTCACCTGATCCTGCACGTACGTTGCCTACCACGCCTCTGACGACGGTACGCCGTCAGCGCACGGAAATTCGTGACACCGCCATACCCAGTATATCCGGAATGACGAACACGGAGCAAATCGACCCTGGTGAAGGGCCGTCTAGTGGGCCAGCTGTTCAAGCATCGGGCAGTTCGACAAATCCCGTCATTGTCACCGATCCCCAAACGCCTCGTCAAAACCCTTCGAAGGAAGACCTTCGTGCTTTGATTGTTGCGCTACGAGCTGAGATTCGTGTCACTAGCAGGAACGTTGATACGCGTTTCGAAGATGTCAATAGACGTCTAGACGCGGAGAATGCAAGACGTCGAAACGACGAAGCCCCTAGACGTGTTGAAGAACACTTTGATCTCCACAATGATGCCGCCAATCCCCCAAATCCACTTCCACCTCAAGATGCGAGACGTCTAGAGGCTGATGAAAGACGTTGAGGAGCTGAAGAAGCAATACGTCGAGGCGCCGAAGACGAGAGACGCTCGATACGTCGAGATGTCGATAGCGAAAGACGTTCGGAATGTCGGGATCTTAATAACGATAGACGTTCCGAAAGACGTCGTCAACGTCGATTTGGTGACGACCCCAGTGACCCCAGTTCGAGTGACGGAGACGATGATGACGATCCCACTCCACCTCCTCCGGATGACCGACGTCGTCATGGTCGAGACAGAGACCTTCTTGACCCTGAGTATGATGACGAACGTAATGGCCGAGGTCCTATACCCGACTTTCCTGAGCGTTCGTATCAGTGGAAAACCGATGAGATTGGCTATTTCTGGCCCGACTGTCCCTCCGACAATCTGATAGCTGGTTGCTACAAAGACCCGAATGGTCAAAAGACGTATTATCAGGATACGCATCTGTTTATCGACCATCTTCGTGACATCATTGATTACAAAGGTGAAGCCACGGTCAAGGCGAACATTCAGACGTGCCTTGTCGGTGCCGCGTTGCAGTGGTATCGGTCTGAAGTCACTGATCGCGAAAAGCGCTTGATACGTGCTCTCAGTCTTGAAAATGGTTGGTTCCGCGAGTTACTACGTCGATTCCGTCCCAATGTGCATGACGCTGTTCGCCGTCTTAACAGCATCGCGTATTCATACGAGATGTTCGTGCCAACCGATCGGTCAGTACTTTCGCCCAAGAGATCTTGCTACACGCGCGGTCTGCCCGTATCAACGACACATACAATCAGCTGTGTACGATATGGGAGCATCTTGACCCTGACCTGCGGGATGACATACCCGAGCCCGAGGAGCATACTACATTATCGACCTTCCTGCAACGCCTAGAGCGTCAGATGTTCCAGTGGCAAGACAAAGTCGCTAAACGCGATAGCCGCAGAAAGGATCGTGATAGGCGTCGGGACGATAGGCGCAATGACAAGAAGAAGGACCGTCGAGATGACGAGAAACGGCTTGATCGCTACGATCGAAAAGGTAGAGATAGTCGGCCGCAATACGGCTGGAATTCCCATTCCTGGACCCCCCGCAATGGATACGGACAGACGAACGCACCCCGCGCGTCTGACAGACCTTCCGGTGCATTGTATGCCGCGAACACCGCTAACCAGTATTCCAGGCCATGGCATTCTCAAGGCCAGCAGCAAACTTCGCGTCAGTCGCTGCCGCCCCAGCATCAATCGTACCCTCAGCGACAACCCGCTAAGGAACTTCATCCCGATGGGGGTAGGACCGAGATGACTCAACGTCAATCCTGGAATCATCCATTCTGGAACAGCAATAATCGT